GATCAGTACAAAGTTCATTGAAATTGCAGTAAGAATACATGCGTCTATAAACATAGATAGGGGAGGACGAGTTACACGCAATTTGAAATTCGATACTATTGTGATCACTTAAACCCACCGGAGCGCTAACTGTAAGATTTTCTATTAAATTTGGGACATTGGAAAAAACTAAATCAAGAATACTATTCCCCCTTGTGGCATTCTTGACATACTGGGTGAGGTTATGACATTGAGCAAGTTCACTTAGACAGGATACCACAGGTGACGTTGGAAGAACCACCTCTTCTTGGCAAAATTCTGGAAGATTGAAATCACCCATAATCACAGTATGTTTATCGCATGATATCAAGTCACTGAGCGCTTTGATAAGCAAGTCCGAATTTGCTCTAGAGCATGAAGGAGTTCTGTAGATTGCTATCATTCTGAAGTTGTAGTCTTCAGCGAATACATCCACACAGAGCACTTCAAAAGAGTCTTCAACAGATTCAGCAAACACTAAACACAACGAAAGCCTGCGCTGAGCAATAAAGATGACCCCACCTCCAGGTTTTTTTGGCCGATCACATCTAATATATCATAGTTATCAGTTATCGTACCCAGAATAGAGGTCAATGTGTGATTAGGTTTCAACCAAGTCTCTGAGAAGGCGTATATATCATAATGTTGAGTCAGCAATATGCGTAAAAAGTCTGAGTTTTTAGAGACTGATCGGATGTTACAATAGAAAAACCTCAATGAGCGAACGTACCGAGGAAAACGTCTCAGTTTCCCTCGATATTTTCGGAGCGATTGGTCGCATCTCTAGTAGATGGTGACATCTTGACTGTTATTGTAGGTTGACGTACCATCTCGATTCCTAGTTATGCGATTACGCTCTTCTCGCCTTTGTTGCCTCTGTTCTAAAGTTAGGGATTCTCGTATGTAGACTCCCTTTCCAGAAAAATGACGCAGTCGTGGTGCTCTCTTTAAAATCAACCTTTGAAAAACACGAGAGGGTAACACTACTTTTAACAGTCTATTTTTTCCTACTAGAGGTCTTCCTAAACGATACACTGTCATTGGGTTACACTCAACGTTCAAGAAATCAAGTATATTACACACACTTGCGAAATCATAAGATAGGCGTTCTCTAGAATTTTCAGATTTCAGCTCAG